GGGCAACGATCGTCCTGGCAGCAGGGGTGGAGGGTGATGCGTGGGGGATGATGGGGGGCGCCTGGGCCCCCTCCCCGCAGCAGAGAGGGGCAGATGCCCGAAGCGGATCGCTGAGGCGCGGCAGAGAAGGCACAAAGCGAGCACCTGCTCGGGCTGGAGCGGTCTTAGCGGATCTTTGCTGTACCTCACACTGACTTTGCCGAGAGCTTGCCTTCGTACCGCCCTTCCTCGCCTTCCCCTCCGAAGGGCTGACAGCTTTCTGAGATTTCTGTTTGCAAAGACCACTCCAGGGAGCTCCTGCAGGGCTGGAGCTGTTGGTCCCTCTCTGCCTTCTGCTACTGCCAGTCACAGGGGCTGAGCATGGAGGTGATTCCTCTTCCCACATCACCTCTGGCGCAGTCTTCACGGCTGACGGGACTAGCAATATAGGAGTTACAAAACGGCTCTGAAGCATCCCTAGACCTGGCTATGGGATGTCAGTGCTTCATGTTCAGAAAAGGCTGCAGCTGAATATCCCAGGGATGGCTCTGAAAATGGCCTGTTGCACTCGGACCTCAGTAGCACTTGCAGCCGCATGATTACAGTAGATTTCCCACAGTTTTCCATCTCCAAATACTAATGCTTCTTTGATAACTGCACTTAAAGGAAAGGTTCTCCTTCTGCAGCCGTCCTCTCTTTCAATAGCATGGTGCACCAGGGGCATCAAAATAATACATATATATGAGAGGACGTGGAGTGAGAAGGGAGAATAAAGGGTTATTGTATTACCTGTCCCTTTTTTCTAAGGTATAAATAATTGTACTCTGTGAATTGATTATTACCTTTTAGCTTTCTTTTTTTTTAAATGACACGCACACACGTGCATCTTTAAAGTGTTCTTAATTCTGTAAAGAATTAACTTTCCCATTCTTTCATGTTATTATCTGTAATACTAAGACAAGGTTTAAAAAAAATGAAACAACATGACAAGTATAAGGGCTTAAGACAACGCATAGCTATTAAATGGTGTCTGTAGGGGAGGACTGATACATTTGAGGTTTACAGCAGCTTCACCTGAAGCATCTGGTACAGGCCAGTGGACAGAAACATAGTCCACCCACTTGCACCCAGCTCTGCTCTGCCCATATCACTTTAAAGCTTAAAGACATCGCTTCAAGCTCAGATGCTTGCTGGGCAGAATTCCTAAGGCTTGGCATGCACATCCTGTGCCTTCACCCTACAGCAGCTGCTGGAAGCCACTGCTGGAGCTGGGCTGCTGAGGGAGATGGGGCTTGGGTCTGGCCCGCTGGGGCAGATCAGTTTGCTCAGTTTAGGGTTCCAAAAGCTACTGGGGAGCATGGACTGGTTTGCTCTCGGGAATTTGCACCGACGGCAGCCTCACGGGCTGTCATCACAGCTGCAATGTTCACTGAGGTCGTGCCTAGGTGTAATGCCTGGCCAAAACCCACTGTGCTGGGCACAAAGCATTTCTGGCAAGAGATCTGTTTTTCAGGGAGCTTACAAAGTCACACAGTCTCTACATAACAGCCAGATGAACAACAGCGTAGTTGCTAGAAAAGTGAAGAAATTTGTACGAGAGAGAGACACCCAGACAGTATTACTGGGCTGCAGGAAAAGTAGAAGGTTTGTGCAGCAGACTAGCATAGAATTATGTAGCCTACTGCATACAGCAAACAAACTAATGAAGCAGCAAAAGCAAAGGAAGTGAGAGAACAAATTGGATGGTGCAGACAGTGTACCAGGTAACTGACCTGTACCAGGTTTTTGTCTAATCCATGTTGAAGGCAGACTGACACAGCACTACTGCCCTGCTGAACAAGAGAGCAATAGGGAAGATTGCGTACCCAGAGAATATTGAAGGTAAATCCAGGGCTCAACACGGTCATTGTCTAAAACCAGCCAAGCAACATTGTCCTGAAGGGAAGACACATACGAGCCTGTATATAAATATTAGTAACCATTCTTGTTTCAGGTCTTCATTATACTTGTACTGCAAGCACAGATTGACATACTACAGAACTTAAGAAAGATTTTGGACCAAATTCACCTACCGGTGACAACATAATGCTAGGTGTCACCCCAGTATTATCTTAGGAGGCAGCAGCCCATATAAAAATCTAAAAAGCTGAAAAAAGTCTAGTTTTAAAGATTACATGGATAAATTGAGATTATTTAGTGCTTGCACATAAGGTGGTGCATGTGTGTGTGTATATATAGAAATAATCAATGCATGTATTACGCAGATATAGACACACAGAGAGCGATAGTCAGAGTTCACAATCAAGCAGCAGATGAAAGCTGTCAGGCCAGGCCTGCATCCCAGCATTTTTGGCAGGGATTTCAGGGACTGGGTTCTATATACTTAAACTGATTGCATATCAGCACTTCTCTATGAAACTACTTGCATCTTATGTTACGGGTTCCTTCTATTGCGCAAAAACTATGCACTCTTATTCTTATGTTTCCAAGCTCAGTAAAGCAGTTGTTTTTACACCCTACAAATGGCTTCCTCAGTACCTCTGCTAATGACCAGAATACACTTTAGCGATGGCAGCAGCACTGACTCACAGCACAGGGCATGGTGTTGCTATGTGCTTATTGCGCTGCGGTTTCCATTACCCAGATAGAGGAGCTTCTTCAAAGCAGGCCTCAGCAACGCCAAGGTTTCCACAGGGATTTACTACTCCCTAAAATAAGAGCCATCCTCGATCCCGGCCAAGCTGAAAGAGTTAAGGGTGATAAAAAAACCTGTTTTATTAAACACGATTATTTTTGATAATTTTCTTTAACCTTTTGTTCCCTCTTTCATACATTAATACTCATATTTTTGTTTCTAAATGGACAATGTTCTTGTTTCTTATGGCTCCATTTGAAATACCCCAACCAGTTCTGCCTCTTGAGAGCAGCCCTGGCCGACTGCAGGATGCCTGCAGAGCAAGGACAAGGTGCTTGTGTGGCACGGTCGTGGCTCACCCTAACGCTCTTTTCCCTCCTCAACCAGGAGACCTCCTGGCTCTGCCCAGGAGCGACTGCATCGCGGCAGAAGAGCTGTGCCTGTCGGACGCTGCCTGCAACGCCACATACAGGGCCCTGGAGAACTGTGCCCTGGCCCAGACTCGCCTCCCCGCGCTGGACCGCGGCGGCAGGCTCCGGTGTCTGCGCGCGGAGCTGGGCCTGGGGAACAGCTCGCTGCTGCACTGCAAGTGCCAGCGGCGCATGCGGAGGCAGGAGCTCTGCTTACGCATCTTCTGGACCGTTCACTCCAGCGTAACAGATGGTGAGATGAAACACTACGAATTTACAGAGTACTCGTAGGGCTCGTCCCTGGCTCCCATCTGAAAACACTGCAAAAGGCCCCTTCCCAGCAGTGCAGGCATCTCTGTGGAACCACATCTCATTACTGCTCTTTGAGAAACAGGGAAAACTGATCTGGTCTGCGACCGGCCCTTCAAATACACCAGGGACCCTTAGAAACGCAGAGAACTGCACTGAGACAGGCTTAGTGCTGTGAGGGGAGACTGTGGTGAAAACACCTCAGCGTGGTCACGTCTGTCCATCCCTGAGAACGGACGTGTGGTTATGGCACACACCGTAACCGCATCCTTCAGCACGCTGCTGCTTGTCTCCGGCTTTAGTGGGATGCTGCTACTTGGCCTCCCACTAAAGACTGCCTGTGCTGCACATCTCCTCGCTGGTACTGAGGCTGAAAAAACCCAGGTGACAACACAGACCAAATTCCAGTCAGAGGAAAGCTGATGACAAAACGTAATACTGTTTTTACGAAGTAACACCTTTGTATCTCCAGGAGAACCATTTCTGGCATTTGTCTTTGAGCAGGGCATCTCTAACTCCAGCCTGAGGAAACAGCCAGGCACAAATAAGAAAAAAAATCAATTTAAAAACCCCAAAACTGGTCACAAAGCATTTCATCCACGGCATTAAACATCTTGTATCTTTCTTAGGTTATTTCAATTTGGAGACCTCTCCCTATGAGAATCCAGCAAATGAAGAGCACTGGAAGACAGATTACAGTAAACTGGCAGCTCTGGTATCAGGTAAGGATTGTAATGGTTACATGATGCAATGCTGCCCTTTCTTACATTTCCAGGGGCTGCACATTACTAAAAAGAACAATTTGGGGTAATGGTCCCTTTAATCAGAGGAATGCTGCTCTGGATACTTGCCTAAATTTGTCCCCCCTACCAAGGATAAATATACTCACAGGTCCAGGCCCACGAAACAAGGCAGAACCCACCACGATGCATTCTCTGAAACAAACACCCTAACATGAACCAGTCAAAAATACGATTTTGTAACTAGTGTAACTACAGTGTGATGCTATGGGCACGTAGCAGGACTAATTTGCTTAGTTCTTTTTGATTTCCCAATCTGACCATCAAGTAAAGGCTACTCCTATTTCCACGCAGAATCTCTTCTAGAGACTTGCTTTATTGTTTCTGGGTCTCTTTTGGCTTCATAGGCTCACAGTTAGCAGGAGATGCAACAAATCCATGCCTGATAGCAACTCACGTCTGTAATCTGAGCAAGAAGTGTGTTCGTCTACGCACAGACTATGCCTCCACCTGCACCAAGGGAGTGGGGAGCGAGGACGCGTGCGACCGTCGCAGGTGCCACAGAGGGCTAAGGAATTTCTTTGAGAAAGTCCCTGAGGAGTTCACCAAAAGGATCCTGTTCTGCCCATGTCAAGATGAACTTTGCGGAGAACGACGCCGGAAAACTATTGTTCCTGATTGCTCCTTCCAGGCTAACACCAAACCCAACTGCCTCTGGCTTCTGGACTCCTGCTTAGAAGACCACATCTGCAAGTAGGTCGGGCAGCAGCAGACGTGAGCCAAGAGACAGGAACAGCATCGGCACTGATGGTCTCGTTTTCTTCCCCACAGATCCCGGCTGGCTGACTTCCAGCAGAACTGCCAACCTGCGGACATGTCTCCAGATGGTTGCTCTCAGCACAACCACGCTGCGTGCCTGCAGGCTTACATGGGGATGATTGGTAAGTGATGGCCACAGGAACACGCAGGGTGGATGAGTTCAGGCCACAAACTTGCAGGCACACTCTGATGCTGTGAAGGTCCATCTTGCTCTCCTGCAGGAGACAGTGCTCAGAGTACCAATGAATATGCCTTAGCCTAACTGATGCTAGTGCTCCCTCTTACTCCTGAAGTAAATGCTGCCCAAAGAGAACTCTTCCCTGGCATTTATCGCTCTGCTTTGTCCCATCCTCTGCTGTCAAATCAGCAGCGCTTGTCTGAGATTTCTGAACACGTGTATGCATCTTCAGCTGGTGCAAAGTGCTCTGGGTGCCGGACCAACGGGGCTCCCTGGGCTGGT